GAGGTTTAGCCAGGGAAGCCATGCAGAAATGAGGAGGGAGAGAATTCCAGACACGGGGGACAGTTGGGAGATGTAGTATCTTCTGAAAGCAACACCAAGGAGATACATGTCATGGTATTGTGGAATGTGTAGAGGGGCATGAGGTATAACAAGCCTGGAAAAATAGGAAGGGACCAGGGTTCAAAAGGCTTTAAAAATCAAACATATTATTTTGTGTTTGATACTGAAGGTAACAGGGAGCCACTGTACTTTATTGAAGGGAGATGACATGGTTTGACCTACACTTGAGGAAGATCAATTTGACAGCTGAGCAGAAGAAGATGGACTGGAGTGAAAAGAGACTTGAGGCAAGAAGACTGACCAATAGGCGATTGCAATAGTCCGAGTATGAAGTGATGAAGACCTATCTAGGGTGGTGGCAGTATCAGAGAGAAGGAGACCATACAAGAGATACTACAAAGATAGAATCAATAGGACTTGGAAGCTGAATGGATGTGGGGGAGAGGGGGGAGACAGTGAGGAATTAAGTATATTATGTCATGTGGTTTCCTGCAGTATCAGTTTTGAACTATTTTTTTCATTTATTCACACAATTTCAGAACTAAAATCTATTTTGCAAAAAAAAAAAAAGGAAGTACAAATGTAACCTTGAACCTCAAAACCTATTGGTATGGGACTTTCTCCTCACTGTGGAGATCAATGCCTTGAAAACAGGAGGGACAGAGTTGTAGAGAGGGGAGAGAAGAGAGATGTTCAGTCTCTTCCTACTATTAGCTTCCAATATATAGAGAGAAGACACGTGAGGACATCTCTTCAGGACCAAGAACAAAGAAAGACTCTGGCAAGAAGGTGCCACAAAGAACTTGGATCATGTCCTCATTCCCAGCTTGTTACACTATAAACTTCGGGAAATTACCCCTTGGGGCAAGATCTGAGACTCTCTTGGTTGAGGTGAATTATCTTGTTTCCAATGGGAGAGCTCCTTCAATCTATATTACCTAGTATATCTTCTCATATGTATACCTTCTCTTGTTTGTGTTTTCTATCAACTTCAATAATGTTGGGTTTTTTTAATTTTTGTTTGTTTGTTTTTGCTATTTGTTGCATGTATTCCTTGTGGAACTGGTATTTGGTGGGAAAAGAGTCAAGCCTTGGATATAAAACTTGGGGTCCTTCTTTCCCCATTAATGAACAGCAATTAAGAAATTAGCTTGAACCTAAAAATTCAATTTCCTAGACTAATAATATTTAAGGGAGCAGACTAATATAATTCTAGCCTGGTATTCCCTCTCTCTAAGCACAGCAGAGTAGTCGGCCTTTGCGTGAAAATGAATTTCCCAGGTCAGAAATGAATCAGTAGCTTTATGTGCAATATGTCACATCGAGTATCACTGTCATCCCTTGTCTGAGAGCTCTGGGCGTGTACAGATCTAGATTCATTGGGGGAAGGAGTGGAGGCGGAAGGGTGTATTTTTGCTTTCGTTATTACTCTACCAGCTCTGAGCAATCCCAGAAACATATCTAAAACAAAGCTTTGGTACAGTTCATGTCTAGGTTCTCCCTAAAATGTGAGTAACAGACTGCCTTCTGGAAAAGATACTCAATGTACAAGATACCAAGTATAATATGGTGTTTATTTCTTCCATCATATAAAATACTTAAGATACAAAGGATTCAAATATACACATGAAGAAATACAGAAAATATAATCCATTCAATTAGTCCATTATATGTATTATTCTCCCCAAGAAAGATAAAGACAACTTTGTAGGGCTTTGAAGCAGATATTATACTTTCACCTCAAACTTGGATTTTCCAAACAACTCACCAGTTCTAGATATAATGGCCAGCCAGGGCATGGCTTGGGCTTGCATTAGCCCTTCATGGAAGAATGGTGCTGGCAATAACTATTCTCTATTCCGTGAAGCTCTCCTTTGATCAGCTAATACCTGAAACTGAAACTCAGAGACTATCCAAGAGGTAGCTTGAAACACAGGCTGGAAACGCACATTTCTCAGGATTGCTAGTTGCTAATTCATGCTTAGGGAAGAAAATAACAAGGTAAGAGAAATTCACTGGAGCAGTACAGTGTAAAGAGCACTGGTTCTTGAGTTAGAAAATCTGGATTCAAATCCTACCTCTGGTACTTACTATCAGTTTGACCTTGGGCAAGTCAAATATTTAACCTCCTTGGGCTTCGGTTTCCTTTATTTGTCAGATGAAGGGGTTACAATAAAAGGCTTCTGAGTTCCATTCTAGATTTATGGCCATATCCTTGTAGCTACCACCGAAACTTGGAGTGGAGAGAGATCTTCCCTCTCTGCTCCTTATTGCAAACCCAGAGGAGGGAAATAATTCCACCAGAAAAGGGTCCAAAAGAGTGAGGAAAACTGTTTTTACAGCTTTACAATATAACTAGAGTCTATCCCCTTAACTCTTGAAGTCCAGTTATTGTTGACAACAACTCCCAGCTGCCTAGACTCAAGGAGTTGCTGTCATCCCATCAAAGCATATGTTGCTCACTGATGATAACTAATGTTTTATAGTGTCTTAAAGTTGCAAAGTACTCTATAGACAGTATCTCCTTTGAGTCTGACAACAACCTTGGGAGGTAGGTACTGCTGCATCCATTGAGCACATGCTCAGCTTCATGGCAGGTGCTAATATAGCAAATCAAGGGTTCCTATGCCTATCATGCCAAGACACATACACACTGTTCCCACAAGGTAACTGAGGACCTGTGAGGTTAAGTGATTTGCCCAAGATTACTGTCTTGAGGGGGGGAAATGTCTTTTCTGATCTATGTCAGAAGGGTTCAGGTGAAAATGTGTTTATCTATAGTTTAACATGTTAATAGGAGTGTGATCTGAATATGCAAACTAAACATTAGAAAAGTGACCACTATGTAAACAAGGTATTAAGAAATAAACTTTGGGATTAGATAAAATTCACATATGGAAACTATTATGATTGGTCCAAAATGTGTATAATTTAATGTAACCTAGATAGAAACTGTTTAAGAATCAGGGGTGGCCATCACCACATTCATTGCAAGGTGCTGCAACACTTCCTCCATCAGGCCTAGGCTGATTCTCTAGGCAAGTAGTTTCAGTTCCTCCTGAGACCAACAGCCTAGAGACCAGATCCAGTAAAGGCAAGACAGAAATCGTTGTTCTCCCTGTCCCCATTGCTATGATAAGGATATGTGATTGACTAATGAAAATTTGCTTGAACCTTGACTAGTTGTTCCTTGCTTTTTATTTATGACAGAAATCCAAGAAATCTAAATCTAGAGTAGGCAGATGGAGTCACATCTGAGATTTTTTTAACCCAGGTCCTCTAACTCTAGAGTCTGTTTTCTTTCCTCTGCATCATGTGTCTTCATCCAGAATAAAGGAATAGGAATAAGTTACAGATCTTTCTAGACAGAACCCAGATCTTCTAACCACAAATCTAGTGCTTTTCCCATTACACCATGCTGATTCCTTAGGGACATGTTTTACCCATACTAAGCACTTAAATACATTTTTTCCTTCATTCATCCAAGTTCTCCTTAATTAACATCATTATTCCTCTGAAGTAGGTGCACTTTTTAGACCCCCAGCTTCAAAGCCCACTTGCATAAGACTTTGCTCACTGGTAGAGCTTGCTTACTCAATGCTCCATGTCTGCCATGAAGGGCAGGTTTGGTCAGAGCTTTGGAGGAAGATCCTCCTCTTCTGGCTTCCACCTTTGAGAAAGAAGACATTTGGTTCCTGACTGTCTTCAAGGAGAAGTCCCTGAAGAGTGAGAAGGACTCAGAAGAACTTCAAAGAACTAGCACCTTGACCATGTCCTTATCTTATCACAGTAGAGATTTCTGGAAATTGCCCCTTGGGTGAGATCTTGAACTATTTCTTTGTTGAGCTATCTTTCTCCTAATGTCAGAGCTCATTCACTCAGTGTAGTCTTAGGTCCTCTGTATACCTTCTCTGATTTCTATTTGCTATTAGCTTGGATAAATGGGTTTATTTGCTCTGTTAGGTATGGTCTTTGTGGAACTGGCATTTAGTGGAACAGAAGTCAAACTTTGGAGATAGAAATAGAGATTAAATACACATGTCAACCCTTGGAAAAAGACATATAAAAAGACATATATAGAGAGATATATAGATATAGGTATGTATATATCTATATATAGATAGACATATGCCAGGCTTTGGCAACATATGCTGCATGAATATGTGTATATGCATATATTGTACATATATGTATAGTAGCTTAGGTCTATATATGTATATACAAATGCATATACATATATAGCCCTGAGCTATATGTATATCTATATATATGTGCATATGTTTATATGTATTTGTAGCTTAGGGATATATATGTATATATACGGCATCTATGTGGCACAGTAAATAGAGTGCCAGCCTCAGAGTCAGGAAGACCTGAGTTCAAATGTGGCCTCAGACACTAGTTGCGTGACCTTGAGTAAGTCACTTTAAACCCTGTTTGGCTCAGTTTTTTTAATTGTTTCCTCATATGTAAAATGAGCTAGAGAAGGAAATGGCAAACCACTCGGGTATCTTTGTCAAGAAAACCCCAAACGAGGTCAGAAAGAGTGGGACACAACTGAAACACAATAACATGGATATAATTTTAGTCTGTATCATATCTTTTTGAGGAGAGTAGAGTAGCCAGCCTCTGGTACCAATCTCCTGCCTCCCTCCTGGCAGGAATTAGTCTCCCCAGGAGAAAAGTGGGCAGGGGAGACTGGAGATGGCTATTCCTGCCTCGCTGTGGACACACACATCCACAATGAGAGAGCCCAAGGACTTTAAAGGATGGAATCCGCTTCCCTTAGACTCCTTTATAACACAACTAGATGGAACCAATCCATGAAAAGGACTCTACTAAGACTACTCCTTCTAGGGATGGGGGAAATAGGAGAGGAGAAAGGAGGGAGGAAGTGGAGCCGAGCTCTCCTGCGCGCATGCGCCTCGGCCTGGACATTGCGCATGTGCAGAGGGGAACCTGCTCGGCCTACTCCCGCGGTTCAGCTCGCTCGCGTCCCCGGGGTCGAGGCGTTATGGAATCGGCCGTGGAGGAGCTGATGCCCCGCCTCTTACCTGTGGAACCCTGTGACTTGGCGGAAGACTTCGACCCCTCTGTGCCACCGCGGACGCCCCAGGAGTACCTGAAACGGGTCCAGTGAGTGGCTTGGCTCGGAGCCTTGGGCCTCAAACGCGTCCCCCCTCCCCCACTCAGGGCAGGGGCGTGGGGGGAGCGGCTCCCGCACCCGGCCCGCGTGGCCGGCCGACGTGGCGGGGGCGGGGCGCGGGGGCGCCACGTCTTAAGCCGGGGCGCCTCCTTCCCGAGCCGGGGGCCGCTGCCAGGGCTGGCTGGGGGCTGGGTATGTGGCCGAGCCGGCTTCCCCAAACCCTCGTCCGTCCGAAAATGCAAATGAGGGAACGAATTAACCTTGACATGAAAAAAAGAAATGTCTAATTCTCATTTTTTTAAAAAAATTCACTCGTAGGCTTGAAGCAGCACAATGTCCAGATGTTGTGGTGGCACACATTGACCCAAAGAAGTTGAAAAGGAAGCAAACAGTGAATGTTTCAGTGAGTTTTATATAGTGTTATTAAGCGTTTTTCCCGGTTAAGTAGTGGAAACTTGTCTCCCTTTCAAGATGCACAGCATAAATATCAGACCTCTTAGGTGTTCATTTTTAAAGCGTACAAAATAATCAGTGTCCCGAGGTTTTTTAAGTATCTTCAGAAATCACAATTTATCTTCGTAGTTGCATAGTTAACATAAGTGGTTTTAAAATAATACCACCTTTGAAGGCTCTACTATTGTAGTGTATGGACTTGTGGCAAGAGGATTTAGATCAGGAGGCAGAAATCAAATCAGTTGAGTTTACACACCATGTTCCAGGCACTGTGCTAAAGCTCTGGGGATACAAAGAAAGGCAAAAACAGCCGCTGCTCTCAAAGAGCTCGAAGTTTTAAAATCCCTGTGAAATGCCATTATTTCCCTGGCTATAGTATTATTGTCTTTTGTTTTCTTTTGAAGGGTTCATTGCAACTGTAAAGTTTAATTCAGTGGATCAAGGCCTTTGAGGCTGCTAGCCAGACCTAGAGTCAAGAAGACCTAAGTTCAAATCTGTCCCGACACTATATGTAACCTGGGCAAATCACTTAACCTCCGTCTGAACCTACCTTATTTTTATGAGATACAGTATCAAAAAACTAAATGCTAGCTATCATTATGATTATTATTCTAGCACTTTTAGTAATTAAACCTAATTGAATAGTATTCAAGATATGAATGATAGATATTTGTATGTGTGTGTGTATATATATATATATTTTTTAAGAGGCTCCAATGTACTTTTTTTGTAATGCCAGGTAATATAGTAGCAAGGTAGGTAAGTTTTGACTACTTCAGTGGTATTTGCCTTTAGCATATAATCCTACTTTTTCTTGGTGTTGTAGATCTAGAGATGCAAGGGACCTTAGAGACTTCTAATCCATCCCTCTCTCCTTTTACAGATGAAGAAATTGAGGCTCAGAGAAGTTATGTGATATGTTCAAGGTCACAGTAATTGCCGGGAGTGGAATTTTACAGATCCTGTGACTCTTAAGTTTAGTGCCCTTTCCACTGTCCCACACCAAAGACTGACTTTAAAAGTCTTTACTGGGGCAGCTAGGTGGCACGGTGGATAGAGCACCAGCCCTGCAGTCAGGAGGACCTGAGTTCAAATTCGGCCTCAGACACATAACACTAGCTGTGTGACCCTGGGCAAGTCACTTAACCCCATTGCCTAGCCAAAAAAAAAAGTCTTTACCCATTTGTCTAACTCCAAGTGTAGTACTTAAATGCATTTTATGTGTATGTATTATTTTTAAAGTAATTTTTTTTTATCTTCAGCAACTATTTTGAGAATGGTTTTTCATTTAACAAGCATTTATCTACTTAAACTAGGCATAGATACAGAAATAAATAAAACACAATCTGTGCCTTTCAGGATGATTTATAGTCATATTTGTAGCAGACACAGCAGAGTGGGAAGCTTTTCTCCCAAAAGAATAAGCCAGTTCTGGGACAGCTAGGTGACACAGTGGAGAGAGCACCAGCTCTGGAGTCAGGAGGACCTGAGTTCAAATGTCACCTCAGACACATAACACTCACTAGCTCTGTGACTCTGGGCAAGTCACTTAACCCCAACTGCCTCACAAAAAAACTCTAGTTTTGAGACTTAAACTTTTGTTCTATTAAGACTATATGCTCTAGTATAGGTCAGCAAACTTATATTTCCTATTTCCATGTAATGTATGGCAATACAGAAGTAGTGACTGTTAATGATTTACAGAAGAAACATAGACTTCTAGAAAAAGCATTGACTATGGAGTCAGAAGGCTGCAGTTTAAATTCCAGTCCTGCTACTTATTACCAGTGTAACCTTGGGCATTCTTGGGACCTGTTTTCTTAGCTAAAAAGAGATTAGCAGCTTTATAATATTAAGCTAAGGGGCTTTCTACTTAAACTTTGTGTGGATGGTAGGTAAAGTATATATTGTGAGTCTTGATTTTTGCAATCAGTACTATAAATATACTATTTCAATTTTTAAAAATCTATTAAGCGTCTGTTATGTGCAAGCCATTGTAGTAGACATTAGGAGAACAAAAACAAAAAAATAGACCCTGTCCTCAAGGACTTTCATTTTTACTGAATGTTTACTAGATTTAAGATGATGTTAGTAAGCATTGCACAGGATTTGATCAAAAAGACATTTGGTTATATGGTTTCTCTGTTTAATAGTATACCATGTTATATAACTGTGTCATTTTATTAGCAACCACCTCCCCCTAATATCTTAAGATAAATTCTTGTCACTTTAATACAAGTTTATTTTCTTTTCTGAATAATTGCTTCATATTCCATATCATATGTGCGCGTTTTAATCAGTGGTATTTTAATCCAATGTAACCTATAATTTCTTTTCAAAAGATAGTAGTGGACAATAGTGAGTTAGCATGCTGATCTACCCTATTAAGTGGGGACATTTCATTTCAAATAATTCTCTAAATAATTGTATGAACTATTTCTGTGCTCCGTCAGGGTAATAGACTAATGACAGTTTTATGGGTTTGTTTGTTTTTTTAACTAAACCTATGGTTTCATTATTGTAGGGTACTCCTGGGTGAGTAATTCTCCCTTATCAATGTAGGTATGCAACTCTTCTTTAACTCTATAGCCTAATACAGTTACCCTGGGGACAATGAGAGGTTAAGGAACTTGCTCAGTCACACATCCAATTTGTGTCAGAGATAGGGCTTGAACCCAGATCTGCCTGACAAGGCCAGCTATCTTTCCACTAAATCACACTATAAATTTACAGCTTACTAAGTATGAGGTTAGTATTTAAAGTCATTTTCAATCTGTTGGATTAAATTTAGGGCATTTATTATTAAGGCTAGATCTTGGTTTTGTGTGTATTTTTAAGAAACATAGAACTTCTCAAGAGGTCATGTAGTTTAGACTATTTCTCTACTTCCAGGTGAGCTTCTAAACGTAAGCCATTCTCTGCCTTCTTTTAAGTTAACATGGATATTTTTCTGCCATTTGAGGAACTTATGCTATTTTTAAGTGCCTCTTAATATATCCAGACAGTAGCTGTCATCCAAAGACCAGACTAGCCAAGTTTGCTCATCATAAGGTTGACTACCAAGCATGTTTTGGGTTTGAGCTTTTTTTTCTTTTTTTGCTATAACAACTAATCAAACAGTATATGAAGGAAGACATAAGGGTTTAACATAGTTGATAACGTAATGGATTCTTGAAATATAGAAACATAAATATTTACTTAGTCACTGTATTGGAAAGAGTGCCACATCTGAGAGTCAGAGGACTAGAGTTTAAATCTTAAGCTCCTGACCTTGGACAAGTCACTTAACCTTTCTGGCCCTTAATTTCTTCATCTGTATAAATAAGTGACTTGTACTAGATGACCTCTGAAGTACCTTTTCACTTTCCACTTAAGATCCTATCTTAATTTTTAATTTTTTCTTTCATCTACCTAGATATAATACATATGTAATTTGATGTGTATCTTTTATATCTTTCCCTGATACCTACCAACATGCTCCTGGCTCCTCCATCCTTAACTGTGATTTGATCCTGCCATTCATGCTATCTTTCTTTCTTTTTTTTTTTTAGGGCAATTGAGGTTAAGTGACTTGCCGAGGGTCACACAGCTAGTAAGTGTCAAGTGTTTAGTCTGAGGCCAGACTTGAACTCAGGCCCTCCTGACTTCAGGGCCGGTGCTGTATCCGCTGCACCACCTAGCTGTCCTGCTAGCTTTTTTTCATCTCCTGGCTTAAACTCCTTGAGAAAGTCATCCACATTCAATTCCTCCAAATTTCTTTCACTTTCTTCTAACCCTTCTGCAGTCTAGCTTCCAATCTTAGCACTCAGTTAAAACTGCCCTCTCCAAAGTTATCAGTGATCTCTGAATTGCCAAATTTAAGGATGATTTTTTCAGTCTTGATCCTTCGTGATCTCTCTGAAGCAATACATGTCGATCACTTTTCTTCTGGATCTTCTCAAGGGTTTTAATGACTGCCATTCTGGTTCTCTCTTTTTTTCTTTGCTCATTCTTCATGTCGTGCCCACTAACCTTTGGGATCTCCTAAGGCTTTCCTGAGCCCTCCCCTTTATTTCACTCTAATGTTTTACTTGGTGATTTCGTTGGCTCCTATGGGTTCAGTTACCCTCTCGATGTACATGTTTCTTATATCTGTGTTTCCATCTCTGGTCTTTCTCCAGAGTTACAGTCCTATATCACTCTGCACATCTTCAGCTGAACGTCTCATAGCATCCCAGATTCAGCACATCCAAAACAGAACTCATTATCTTTTCCCTCAAACCTTTCCCCTTTCTGAGCTTTTCTAGTACAGTCAAAGGCGGCACCATCCTCCCAGATCACCCAGGCTAGCTAGCCTCAGTGTCATCCTCAACACCTCATTCCACACATCTAATTTTGTCATTTATATCTTCCCAACATCTCATATATGCCCTGTCTTGCCACTACCCTAGTAACCCCCCAGTGGGTTAATAGTTAACATCTCTCACTTTGACTACTGTAATAGCCTTGTAATTGGTCTTCCTGCCTTACATCTTTCCTCACTCTGATCTCTCTACCATTCAGCTGTCAAAGTGATTTTTTTTCTAAAACATGAGTCTGAGCGTGTCATCCTGGCCCCCAGTATGTGCTCCAGTGGCTCCCTATTGCCTCCAGGATCAAATTCCTCATAGTCATTTAAAGCTCTTTATAACTTGGCCTGTACCTTGAGCTGTACACCTCTCTAATGTGACATTCCCTCTCTGTCTGTTTGTACTGCCTGTGCTTTTCTTCTTCTGCTTCCCCACCCCCCATGTTGGGGATGCTCTGCCTCTTCACCTCTACCCTTGGTTTCTATGACTTCCTTTAAGACTCAGCTTATTCTACTTTCTGTAGGAGACCTTTCCTGGTTCTTCCCCCAAACCTCACCCCTACTACCTCCAAGTGCTTTGCCTTCTCGGGTTACCTTCCATTTGCACATTGGACATATCTTGTATGTATGTGTTTCCTTACATGTTGATTCCTCCATTAGAATGTATTCTCCTTGAGGACAGGAACTATTCTTACCTTTCTTTGTATCTATAGCACTTAGCACAGCGCTTGGCACATAATAAGCACTTAATAAGTACTTATTGACTGACTGTATAATGTTCTTGGAGTTATCAGATTCTTGCTATAACATTACCGGTGTAACATTTTGGGGCTGTTTTTTCTAGCTTTCAGGATGCCAGCCTGCTCCTGAAGGATACTCTCCAACACTTAAATGGCAGCAGCAACAAGTAGCACAATTTTCAACTATTCGCCAGGTAATTATAATTAATTGTCCAAGTAAACCCTCCCCTCAGATTTATTTCTTCTTTATGCTCTATTAGAAAAATAGGATTCATGACTTTTAACTCTAAAGGTCATTGTTTTATTTATAAATTAGATGCTAAATTGTTATATGATTATAAGATAAGCAAGCAAGTTTTGCTGCTTATTGTTAGTACTCTTCCTCCCTCCTCCAGTTATCTTGGATTTGCTTATCTCTGTAAATATTCTGTCTCCCACTGGAATATAAACTCTCTGACAACAAGAAATGTTTTTGTTTTGTTTCCCCATAGCCAAGCACAGTAGCTTGCACACAGTAGGCACCTAACAAATGCTTCATTTAATTGCTAGTGTTTTTGTAAAGTTTGATGTTTTTATTATATGCAGTCATTTCCCTCAAATGTACCTATATTGTTTGACTAGCATTAAATAAGTTAAAATACAGAATTTTAGTTGTCGTTTTTTTCTCTCTTAGAGTGTGAACAAACATAGAAATCACTGGAAATCACAACATTTGGATAGCAATGTCACCATGGTATGTGGTTCTCTCAGTATTCACTTATTTTAAGTTCATTTGTATTTATTACCAACCTTGAAAAAGAATTAACTTTTACAAAATTTTCACTCTCTTCCCTTGTATACCGTTGTCATTCTGTGTGTCTATAAATTGCAAGCACTGGTAATCTGAAAAAATAAAAATCAGTGATGTGGTATAGTATTTTAATCCATGGCATTTTTTTTCTGCAACCTAACACCTTTAAATCTTGAGGTTGATATGTCTTTCCTCATGTTTATGGACTCATAGCTTGGCATTGTTTTTAAATGTGAAATATGTCATCCTTATTTAGAAAGGGCTTAAATCTTATTCAGTGAATTTTAAAAATTTCAATAATAGTGCCATAAAGAAGAACCAGGTATTCTAACAAATACCATTGTGAAGCTTAACGTGTAGATTAGGAAGAAGCATTTCCCATACCCTGTCACCTAAACAGGAGTCCAATGTTATTCAGTACATGCCTTATATTTGTAAAAGGATAGAATGAAGGGAGAAGTTTAAGAGGCTTCAGTGAAGGAAACTTATGCATTGGCATCTCAGTTTGAGTATAAGAAATGAGTTTTGGCAGATTTTCAAACTATTATACAATAAAGTCTGTTCTATCTTGTAAAATTCTGAAGGTTGTTAGTGTGCCTAATAACTTGCTAAAAATAAACTTTTTCCACATCTTTCAGCCAAAATCTGAAGATGAAGAAGGCTGGAAAAAATTTTGTCTTGGAGAAAGGTTATATGCTGAAATGTCTGCTGCAGCAGCTACAGGTGAAAATCCAGGAATAGACTATGTGCAGGTACATGACGTGTTTAAGATGGCAAATCGATCACCCTAATTTCTGTTTTGTTTTGTGGTCTAAACAAGAACACTTTTTTTTTTAATTAAGAAGTTACATATGAGCTACTTCAAGGTATCATGAAGCAGCAAGGTGGTTTGTGGAAAGAGCGCTAGGCCTGCAGTCAGGAAGACCTGAGATCAAATTCAGTGTTGACTACTTAGCTTCATGATCTTGGGCAAGTAACTTCTGTTTGCTCCAGTTTCCTCAGCTGAAAAAATGTGGATAATAATAGCATTTACCTCCCAGGATGGTTATGAGGATCAGCTATTCTTCTCCTCTGCCGTCATCACTGCAGACAGTAATTGAAATTACTAACTCCTAATAGTAATATATGTATAACTTCTAATTTTTGTTCAATTATTTTCATCTCTTATTTCATATTTACAGTATTGATGTGAGGTTGATAGGTTGACTGATTTAGTTCTTCTTTCTTTAAAACGTAAAGAAACTATTCATAGAATGAAGTAATATGACTTGGTCAAACAGCATTATTGGTAGAGAAGAAATTTAAAAATCCAGTGAACCTAATGTAGGACCTAATGCTCTTTTCATCATACTATCTTGTACTGATTCTCAAGTCTGTGTGTGTGTGTGTGTGTGTGTGTGTGTGTGTGTGTGTGTGTGTGTGTGTGTATGTATGTTCAAATCTAATTAAAGCAACATAATCAGATCAACATAAGTCACTATGACTACACCATTTAATAAGGATCATGTAGTACTTGTCCTTTCTCACATATTTAACAGAATCTTAGAATCAGAATTAGTCTTACCCAAAATAATTCATGACAAGGTATTTTAGTTCCAGTGTCATTTGTGTTTATATAGATTTGAGCTATTATAAATTTAAAGAGTTCTAGATGATTGACCTATTAACAAGAATTAAATGGGAGTACCTTTTCTGTGCTAAGCACTGTTGATAAATACCCCAAGAAAGTATAAATTCCCTTCTCCCCAAAAGCTACAATATACTTGGGGAGACACTCTTAATACAGGAGAAACAATTAGAGAACAGTTATGTTATAGAATGGATGTAACAGAATATTTATGCTTATTTGAAAAGTTAAGGTAGATGAAACCAAGCTGCTTGCCACTGAAAAACCTATTTCGAAAAAACAAGACAGAAAAGTGATTTCTTTTTTACATTTAATAATTTTAATGTTAATATGTTTTTAATTAAATTTTTCACAGCACTTTCACATTTTATCTGATAGCGGTGTTTGGACATAAGATAAACAAGTATTTATCTTGATTTTACAATGAAGAAACTGATGCATAGGAAGGTCATGACTGGCCCAGGATTATAGAACAAGTTAGTGGTAAAGCCATAGCTGGATCCCATATTTATTGATTTGTAATCTTATGTTCTTTCAACACTTTGGGTTAGGTTGCCAGGGCCAGCCTACTAGAGATGACCTGTGTTTAATAAGGCTAGCCCTTCAAAAGAACACTTAAAATATTATGTTTTTATGAAATTATTTACTACAATACATATAAATAAAAAGCTATCTTAGAAACAGTCACTTAGTTTTCTGTAACTCTTAATGCTATGTAGTTTTTGTTAGTGGGCAGATAGGTGGCACAATGGATGAATAGAGCGCCAGTCCTGGAGTCAGGAAACCTAGATTCAAATGTGGCCTCAGACTCTTATTGGCTGTGTGACCCTGGGCAAGTCACTTAACCCTGTTTGCTTCAGTTTCCTCATCTATAAAACGAGCTGGAGAAGGAAATGACAAACCACTCCAGCCTCTTTGCCAACAATATCCCAAAATGGGATCATGAAGAGTCGGAAATGACTGAACAACAAAATTTTTTGTTCGTCACATCAAGATTGACAAGCTAAATCTCTAAGCATTTATTCATTCATAAATTTTAGTTTTGCTTGAAGAGTTCTTGATGGAATCTAACTTACTTGTGTGATAGGGTTTTTGTGAGAAAAGTACTTTGTAAATCCAAAATATATAAAGCCATGATATGAGCCATTATTGACCATGAAATATAAACTTTACTGTATTACAAAGAAGGAAATTTAAGTACCTGATAGAAAATAAAGATATCACAGATTATCTAAGTGCAAGTTGGTTTTTTTAATTGAATTCTTCAAATACAGAACTGTTGCTTTTCCAAGGAATATTCCATTTTTGTCCCTGCATATTGCCGTTTTTGGTTACTACACAGATATTGTATTTTTTAACAAATGCTTAATTTTTGAGAGGTCATTGTTTTCTTGTACATCATTAACATGTTATAATAAACTAAAAACCAATAGAATATGAAGAACATTTTTTTACATTTTTATTTGTTTAAATTTCTCCAGTAAAAACAAAAACTTTATACTGTTGTAATTTATCATATTTTAGTGCTGTTTGTATTTCTTTTTTACAGATTGGGTTTCCTCCCTTGCTTAGTATTGTTAGCAGGATGAATCAGGTAAAACTCATCTTAATTTAAGTGAAATCGTTCTTAAAATAAAATGTGTTTGCATATACATATATATACACACATATGTTTGCAACATATATGTAGTACTGGCTGAAAACATGGTTCAATTAAATTTTAGCTTTATAGTCATAAAGAACTATATATATATATATATATAGAGAGAGAGAGAGAGAGAACATAAAGGCTTTTTCAGCCAAAATCTGAAGATGAAGGCGGCTAGAAAAAATTCCGCCTTAGAATTAAATATTTGTGTATGTGTGTGTATATATATGTATATGTGTATATATATATATACATACACACATATATGCATGCATATGATAAAATGATACAATATGACATAGCTGCCTTTGTAGTCAGGAAGACCCAGGTTCAAGCCTTGCCTCTAACACATAATAGCTTTGTGACCCTGGCCAAATCATTTAACCCTCTCAGTGCTCCAGGCAACTAATTGTCTAAGACTATAAATTACAGAATTGTCTATATGGGTAAAGGGAGTTTCCTTACCTGGGGTTTTCCTATACTAATAAAACTACATGTTCAGACCAAAATAAATAAATATTCACATGAATATGTGTTTACATATACATGTATGTGTCTACGAATTATATTTTATTTATAATTATTGATACTTTCTCCATTAATAGAGGAAAACTTGATCCTTTGGTTTTCAAATCCTTCATAAACTGATGGTCCTTTTTTATTTTTTAACTTCTGAGCCATATCCAGTAAGAATTTGACATTTATTTTCATTACTCATTAGCATTAGGTACTTTAAGAAGAAAGAAAATTTGAAAAAAGGAAAGAAATCATTCTGTTAAGTGTAATTCACAGACATAGATTTCTTTAGATATCTCTGTATTCAGCCTTCCAGAGTATGAAACTTAAGCTTGACAATTGACAATTGGAACAATGAATATATCATTGACTGACTCTCTTGAGCCTAGTCTTTGTGGCAACCATCCACCCCCAATTAGTTATAGTACAGATGCTGTCTTCCTGTGAAGTGCATAAATAATTAATACATATTCTGCATAAAAAATACTGATTTAATTGTATAAAACATATATGCTACAATGTCTTGGATATTCAATATTTTTTCACTAATAAAATTTCTTGTTTTTAAAAGGCAACAATAACTAGTGTCCTAGAGTACCTGATTAACTGGTTTGGAGAAAAAGACTTTACTCCTGAATTGGTATTATTTTTTTTCTATTTTCATAATGTAGATCACATTTTAGTTATAAAAGTCTTTATGTTGTTATACTATCTGTTATACTACACCCAGCATGAGTATAAAATAATTTGGTATTTAAAAACAGAACATGTCCAAATGAAGTGTCACTCTTCAAAATAGTTTCAGAAGACATTGTATTACTTTTAAATATTTCTGGATCTCTTACGGAATTGCCTTTAGAGCCAGTTTATACAAGCTGTACAAGAAAAGTCAGTCATTTTATTTCTTTAAAAATTTATGCCATTTTTGATTGAAAATAAAGTCATCTGCCTTATTCACCTCAATAGATTTTGAATAACTTTGAATTGTTTACAAAAATCAAGTACATCAAAAGAAAGGAAGTTTAGCAAAGTATCATGGCTTTAGTGCTAGCAGGAGCTTCCCGTCATCTAGTCCAATCCTTTTACTTTACAGATGAGAACACTAAAACCCAGAGAAGCAAATGACTTGCCTGGTGTCACACAGATGATAAATGGAACAGCCACGATTTAAACCCAGTTTCTCTGACTCCGAATCCAATACTCTTCCAGTGTTGCCTTTAGGATTTTACCATAAGAGACTATCTTGTACAACCTATACTTGAATGTGAAGTGAAATGCAAAGTCCTCCTTCCTTGTGTACCCACAAGAAGCGTTTTTTTAAAGATCTCTAGCAAGATGGAATCCACTGCATTTTTTAGTACAGTGAAAACAGTGCTGGTTCTGGAGTCAGAAGACCTGGACTGAAATCCTACCTGTAAACCTTACACTTTTGTGACCGTGGTCAGTGTCCCATGGGTCACAAGAAAAGGAGAGGTTGCTGAGTGATGGTAATAAAGAGAGTCTGAGGGCAGCTAGGTGGTACAGCAGATAGAGCACCAGCCCTGGAGTCAGGAGGACCTGAGTTCAAATCCGGCCTTAGACACATAACACTTACCGGCTGTGTGACCCTGGGCAAGTCACTTAACACCATTGCCTAACCCTCCAAAAAATAATTAAATAAAGAGTCTGGAAGTGGCAGTGTTGAATGTATTTTGACTACTCCTCTAGGACCAATGATTTCAGGAGTATAAGAGGAGGAACAGCTAGTACTGGAAAGGATGACCAGGGAGGCAAGCTGTAGTCTCTTTAATTGTTAAATCTAATGGCCTCTTCTCAATCCTGATCTTTTTTTATCTTAATGCAGTATTTTACACAGTTGACTCTGGAGTACCCCTTCATTCCAGTCCATCCTCCACACAGTTGACAAGCTGATTTTGCCAAAGATCTAATCATGTCATCAACCCCCTACTTCCCTTCCTGTGTGCTCAATACTCTGTTTTTGTGGTGGTATCCTTGTGTTTCACCCAAAACATCATCCACTAACCATGGGGATGTTCAGAGGCTCTATCCTAGACCTTCTTCTCTTTATGCTCTTACTGAATGACCTTATATCCATCCTCCCATGTGTTTAGTTACCATTTCTTTGCAGATAACTTCCAGATCTGTATATCCAGTCTAGCCTCCTAAGCTCCAGTCCCACACACGATGTCTTAAAGGCATTATAAACTCATTTATCTTCCCTCCCTCCTTGACCCCTAAATTCACTCCCTTTCCAAACTTTCCAATTTCTGTTACTGGCTATTAGCACTTTTCTAGTTATCTGGCTTCGAAATAGAATCTGAGACACCAGTGTAAGAACTAAAGAGGAGCACATGGTAGATATGAGCAGGCTGCAATATTTAACCAACAAAGAACTTAAATTATTAAGAAGAGTAGTTCTAAATGATGTCATCAAGGAACTGTAATGACAGAAAAAATGGGTTGTTCATGTGGCAAAAGTGAGGGACACCAAGTGGACAGAGTGTTCCGCTGTATACCTTCATTACATTGGAGGAAAGTAAGGAAGGCCTCCATTACATTGGGTGGATCACCTATGGCACATATTTGGGAGTACATGGATAAGAGTCACAGGATGAGCAGTCAAGGGTGGGTTGTAGAGCACAGCACTGGAGGATACACCAGAATTAATGAGCTTATAGATCCATCTTAGCATTTTTCTTTCAAGAGCATAAGATTTCCTTTTTGCAGTTTTGATGCAGAGTTATAGGGTGTATGCACATTAACAATGGTAAAATATATTGAAAAGATGGGCCTTTGCTGTTATGGATCAGTAAAAATGCTTTACAGTTTTCCCAAAAGCAATCCAGTCTGCTCTTGAAAAGCTTGGGAAGATATCCAACTTAGCAGAGTCACTCAAGAGCATTCAAGGATTAAAAACAAAATGAAGACCACAAACAGAAAAACTGTTATAACCGTTTTCTCACATGAAGAACCACAAAACCTACCACAGTTGAACCCTAAGTATCACAGACCCTTAGAAAAGAAAGTAGAAATGCCACTGAAGAGAAGCTGGATTGACCAGTACTAAAGCACTTGGATTGGATCAAGTATATTTAGAGATATGTGTTAGAGGCAATAAAGGGACCTCTTTATAAGATATTTAAAGGAGAGGAAGATGCCAAGTTGTGGGGGGGAAATCACTGACCTTACTTACAGCATTTCAGCAGCATATATGTATATGTTATCTTCCCCAAGAAAATGTAAGCTCCTTGAGAGCAACTTTTAAGTCTTTAGTGCAGTACTTGGCACAGTGCCTGCATTTTAATAAACAAATGCTTGTCGATTAATTTATAATGAAAGAGTGGTTTAATCAAGCTTAAAACAAGCAATATAAACTTATAAATGAGGAAGAATAAAAGCTATGATCATATCATTAGATGCAAAAAAAGCCTTTGATAAAATGTAACACTGGTTTTGAAAAATTATGAAGGAATAATGTTCATGTTTGAAATTAAAAGGTAACATTCGATGCAATAGAGAAATACTAAAGCCATTCCTATTAAAAACAGGCATTAAAGGAGCATATCTACTCACTGCTCCTATTTAATAGTTTTAGGGCATTTAGGCCATTTGTAAGGCATGAAAAAGAAACTCATAGGCAGCAAAGTTAAAACATCTCCTCAAATTGTAAAACCATAGAATGCGGAGTGGAGTCTGGGTTTAAGAGGCAGAAAATTGTGTGGACATTCTGGGGCTTACTTGAGACTATGGTAGCAGAGGCATAAAATGAGGTGAAAGATGATAGAATAATTTCTACTCTGGAGAGACAAAGCAGAAGCTTTTCCCTCCAGATAAAATAATCCTGCCTCCTTGCCATTCTCAAGGTAAGCCAGAACCCTAGGAGAATCTTAATTTATAGGCACCTTGGGCATATGCTTCCTTGACTAGCACTTCTGAGGACTCTTCCTTAATCTCTCATTCAAATATATAGAAAGGATTTAGGAAGTGCTTTCCCTGCAAAAATCCTGTGAAGTACTTAAAAAAAAATCCCTATTTTACAGATGAAACTGAAGCTCAAAGGTCAGAAAGCTGGTGTCAAAGCCAGAATTCACACTTGGGTATTCATTCTCCCAAGCCTAGTGCTCTGACAGTGGTATATTACCAAATGATAATAAAATTGGCCACCCTTGTTATATAGTAAAAGTGTCTCACTAGAAGTAGTTTGAAGTAAGGGAAAGGGTAACTTTCAGGATAGGTGGCTGGGGGGAATGTTTACACATACTAGAACTTTTGAGCTGTTATGTTATTGCACTAAGACTTTGGGATACCTTGTATTCATAATATTTTCATTTTCTGAATAAAAACATCTAGATACAGTGCTGGGAAACATGCCTCATTTGAACTGCAGGGGATTTCAGAGAAAATAGATTTGTTTACTGGTATACTTGACCAACATAATAGATGTTATCCTGAAAAGTTGTAACTAAAGAGGGTTCATGAACTATAATTTTTTTGTACTAGAATCAACAGATTATAAAACTGGAAGGGACCTTGGATATCTATCCAACTCCATTATTTTTTACAAACTTTTATTGATACCATTTGTCTTTTCATTAGTCATTACCACCACTCCACAATGACCTCCAGATTGAACTCTTCTTAATCTGTCTCTCCCACGATTCCTCCCACTTAGCCAATTGAATATATACATATTGTATGTGTGCATAAGTGTGTGTATATTTTATGTATGTATTAGCCATGTCCAAAAATGTATTTTCTGCATTTAAAGTTCATCCTTCATCAGGAGGTAAAGGGTGTATTCCATCTTCATTTTGGTGGTTTGTCATGGTGTTGATCAGCATGCTGAAGTTTTTCAAAGTTGTTTTTCTCTACGGTCATCGTATAACTTATTTCTGCACTAGTTCATAAAGGTCTTCCCAGTTGCCTCTGAAATTGTCCATTTTATAATTTCTTATGGTCCATTTATATGCATTTACATTTATATACTTCAATTTGTTTAGCCATTCCCCAACAGAACACCTGCTCAGTTTCTAATTTTTCAGTATAAGAAAAAAAGCTGTTATATTTTGTAGGTATAGATTCTTCTTTCTTTGGTTTCTCTTGATTTTATAAACATGGGAATGTTATATAGCTGGGTCAGAGCATATGCACTACTTTCATAACTTCCTCCTTAATATAGGTCCTGATTGCTTTCCAGAATGGCTGGACCAATTTACCTATCAGTAGTGCACTACAGCGAAAGTGGGGCCTACGCCATTCCACCAGATTAAAATGGAATTGGGAAATACTTCACAAAATAAATTAAAAGATAATAAAACATAGATGATGTTAATCCAGGGTTTTTAGGTCAGTATTCAGCCTGTAGGGATCCCTTTTTGATTTGGTGGCCTTTGTTCTATTTGAGTTTGACATCACTGTCCTACAGAACCAGTTTTTCCACAGCTCCTCCAGTATTTGCCATCTTTGCCATACATTCTCCCCTATAATAAAACCGATAAGCAAAAACATCCACTACAGAAGCTTTATCTGACAAGGTATACATCACATTTCTGTTTTGAGTGTTTGCTTTTTGAAGTTAAATTTCATTTTATCACCATTCTCATTTTACAGATAAAGGATACTGAGGCTCAGAAAGATTAGGTGACTTGCCTAAGGTTAAGAGCCAAGGTTCAAACCTGAATTTGTGACTCCAATCCAGAGTTCTTTCTACTGTAGTATTTTACCTCCTGGTCTAGTGGAAAGAAAGCTTAACTTGGAGTCATATGACCTGAGTTTAAACCCTGGCTCTGCCACCTACTAGCTGTGTGACTCAGAGCACGTCAACAGCCCTATGAGGTGAATGGTATTATATTATCTTCATGCCCCAGATCACACAGCTAGTAAATTTCTTAGGCTGGATTTGAATGCAAGTCTTTTATCATTCCAAGTCCAGCAGTCTTGTTCCAGATGACCTCTTCAGGCACTTCCCAATTCTGGATCTATGACCTCCCACTCATTACCTTCAAATTTGTAGTTTCCTCTACAGTAATTATATTTCAGTAACTGATCACTTATTTGTACTTTGGACAGTGTAGGAGTCAGGGCATGACTGCCTTTTATTAGTAAGCCAACCAAACACAACCTTTTATTATTTATGGCCATGTTTTTACACATATAGTGTTGCTGTTATTTTTGTTTAGATATTTCATAGTTACTTTAGTTCAGATCCTGCCTCTGACACCAGCTGTTCAACTCTAGCAAGCAACTTAACCTCTCTGGACCTCAGTTTATTCATCTGTAAAATAAGAGTTGGACTCAGTGGCTCTCAGGTCATTTATAGCTCCAAATCTATGATCCTATAAATGTCAACAATAGTATTTTCTTATAGATGACCTCTTTCAGAAATGATTCACTACCATAATTATAAGTTGTGACATTTTAATTCAGAGTCTGTTCTAGTGGTATAGCCAATTTAATCCATGTAAAGCTCAGTCATATGTTGTGTTATTATCAAAACTTTCACAGAATAAAGTCATGTCTCTTATTAGTTTAATGTTGCAGCAACTAATAACTTAAAGAAACTTATTTAGATTTTGTTTTAGTGGTTCCATGATAACACCATGAAACATAGAACCAAGGAAATTTATTAGAAATATCAATAAAATTTTGTGGATAACATTCTCATCTTGGACTTAGGAATCAGTTAATTCAGAATTTGTCTATAGATACTAAAGGAAAACTTGGCCAATTCTGATGTCTAAAGTATGCACATGTGTTCTGATAGGTTTCCCTACCCTGGTAAATAAAGGGTTCCTGTAGGAAACTTTGGAAGGTCTAGAAGGGAAGGGGAAATGTTTTTACTTTTCCATTTTCCCTTTATCACAATCACTAAATTTGTTATTTAGATCCCCTTTTGAATACACTTGTCTGTTATTATCTAAACTAACTCTTAAAATTTTACATTTTATTCATAAGACAGCATATTGTAGTCCAATGGTGTCAAGCTCAAACAGAAACAGGACTACGAAACTATACATGAGGATCCCTACAGGCCACATAGTGACTTAGAAAACTATATATTATCTATGCTTTATTAAATATTTCCCAATTATATATTAATCTGGTTCAGGCTACCTGAGAGTACAGGGGGCCATGTGTCTTACACCTCTATTTTAGTCAGCAGAGATCTTACCTTAGAGCCTGGAAGATGTGGATTCAGGTCTTGCTGCTGAATGGCTACAATGATCCCAGGAAAGTCACTTAATTTCTCAGTGCTCAAGGCATCTAGGTCTACAAATTACTGATGCCAATCTATACTGGTAGAGGGGGTTATCTCATTAGGCAGTTCTTTAAATCAGTGAAATCAGAGATCCAATCCCTATCTCCTATGATTTATTTGTAGCAAAGAACATTATTGTTTATTATCAAAATGTTCAAGATAGAAGACATCTTAGAGAAAATCTAAAAAAAAAAACCTTTCCATCCCTCCCTCTTCCCCACATATTGTAGATGAGGAAGCAGAGGTTCAAGGAGGTTGTGATTTACCAATTCCAGGACCTTTGACCTTTTTTCTTTTGGTTAGAGAACTCTTTATAATAGGCTCAGCAATTACAGTGATTTGCTCATACTAGATTTAAACCCAGGTCTTTTCCCCCCTTAATTCTGTAATGAGGGAACTGAGTTCAGAGAGGTTGTGATTCATGCAAGGTTACACAGACAATAATTAGGATTTAAACTCAGATATCCTGATTCCAATCCCAGCACTCCATTCAGTGTACCATAGGAGACATATCCCTGAAGAAAGCAGTGAAACATCTGATAAGAACGTATTGATAGCACTTTATTACTTATTTATATATACACATACATGCATATATGTAACTAATTTTTAATTCATTCAGGGAAGATGGCTCTATGCTTTGTTAGCTTGCCTTGAAAAACCATTATTACCTGAAGCTCATTCATTAATTAGGCAACTTGCAAGAAGATGCTCTGAAGTGAGATTCTTAGTGGTGAGTTACAACTTTCTGTTTCAAATGACATCCTAAATTTGTGTAATGCTTTAGTTTGCAAAGCATTTGATGTGTTTTTTATTAGCAGAAAAATACTAATTACTTTACCCTAGATGGTGATGGAAAATTTAAATAAAGAAGTTGAAGAATGCACCGAATTATATGGGAATTTTTCCTAATTCAGAATGTCACTGGCTTAGCTATTTCAAGTATTCTTCTATCAAACAAAATTTGGCATGTCTAAAAAATCTTACAATGTCCTACTAATGCATAAGTAGCAACATTTATGCTTGAGTTACTATACCCTACATCATTATGAATCATCTGTCCCTCGTCTGCCTTATTAGGAAGCAAATCCTCTAATTTCTCTTATGTGCTTTCTCAGTTCAGTATCATGCTGTAAGCTAGGACAAACCATTCCAGATTCCCTCCCTTAGATTGCAGGGACTTCTGATCCAGGTTTTCAGTTTTCAAGATTATGAATCTCTCTCCACTGACCTTCACAATATAGGTAACACAAAATTTATTAAGATACAGATTTTAAGTTACATCTACTTGGCAACAGGCTAGAGAGAGATCTTCCCTTTCAAGCTTTTGGGCCCAGAACTATTTTTATCAGTAAGGATATTTCCTTCAGGGCCCTTATTAAACAAGGTGTTGATTCAGAAGTATTATCCTTCCCCTTCAAGGATTTTCTGCTGTGTTGTAATAGCACAAATAGTAACTTCGGCAAAGTGCTTGTTTTTTGTAACCTAAAAGGAAATTTGGTGGCACTCAGAAAGCAGAAATAAAATATATCTTTGTTTTCCTCTTTTTTCCAGGAGAGTAAAGAAGATGAGAGAGTACCTGCTTTGAATTTATTAATCTGTTTGGTGAGCAGGTATAGTAAAAGCTTTTTGGGGTTTTTTTTGTACTTTATAATAAGTGCTACAAATTACTATTTTGTGTATGTATATGTGTGTGTGTATGCATATATGAAATGTATGTGTGGTTTTTTATACATGTCTTGGCTATGTGATCATTTTAAAGCTCAAATGTTGTGAAAATTTAGTTAATATTAAATGGGGAAATCATAAAATGGCATGCCTGCTTTATACTTTCTTAGCAAACATTTTGAGTTTTAAAAGAAATATATTTGAATTGGATGTCAACTAGAATGTGTACTTACTTTTTAGAGTGCAAAATTATCCTAGTCCTCTCAACAAGATACCAGCTTATTGGGGTCACTAGTGACTTTTATGCCATTGCTTTGCATGATGATTAGGTATCTACTAAATTTTGAGCCAGAGTTCTCCATGAGTCCTAAAATTTATCTTTTTAATAGGTATTTTGATCAGCGTGACCTGGCTGATGAACCATCTTGATACAAAAACAATCTTCAATAACAGAATACTTGTGATGTAAAAGAAACAAGCAACATTACCTCTGTACAAGCCAGCTAGTCCCCATGAAGACAGGTTTCATCAAAATTTCAGTGTTATGTAAGAACCTTAAATTTGATCTCACTTACTGAAATTGATGTCCATAGCAAGATCAGTGTTGCATTTTAAAAGACTAAATTGGATGAGCAGTGTGTCACACAATTATAGCAATTAGTTTTGCTAATGTCTCTTAATTACAAACCTTTCAGAAGGATTAAAAGTCATTCAATAAGTGAAATGCCTTGTATAAGAACCTTTTTTAAGTAATAAACATTTTTATTAAGTTCTTAAATAATGAATGCTGAAGGTATTTGGTGGAAGTTGTAAAATTCCTTGTGCTGAAAGTGAGATTTGGATACTAAGAGCTCAATTAACCAAAATAAAATTAAAAAATAAAACCAGAAGCCACTTATAAAAACATCCTGTTCTTAGTAACAGGGTTAAAATAACCTGGATTTAAAGTAAAAATGCATCAACATTAAGAAATCAAACAATATTTATTGCATACCACTGGTAAACCCATGGGGGGGTACTTAATATAAAAGAGATTTTAAACATGTGCAACATGTTTAAAGTTGTTAGAACTGAATATTCCTGTTACCTAGTATGAAGAATAGAAATTCTCAATTATTTATTACTTGAATGTAGTGAAATTGACTTGGACAAGTAACCTTTGCATGTCAAGAGTCATCCTGACTGGTCTCATGTATTTTTAGAGATAGTCACTTTATCCAATTTATCTAATCTAGGATCCAACCCACAATTTAATTTCCTTCATCTGATTTCTTTCAAAGATTTACCTCCTTTCTTTCCACCCTTGCTGATCCCAGAAATCCTCTTCCAGTCTTACTTTTTGTAGTGCCATGAGTAGACTTAAAATACAAAGCCTCTTCATACAAATATGAAAATTACTCATTTTAACATATACCTCCAACTTTTTTTTAAATCCAATTTAGTCTTTTTTTTTTCTGGACCTGAAAAAAATGGATACAAATGATAACTTTTTCTCTCTACTAACTGAGTAAGACTTTAAGTTTGTCCTTCTTTTTAATGCCAAAAAATGTTATCATGAACCAGTAAAGCAGAAGCACAAAGAAATGTTGTTACTTGGTTGCTGTGCTTACTTAATAAATTTTTTAATTAAATAAAGGTGAATTTGGTATACTGTGATATATAGCTACAGTGTAGTGTCTCAGCAAAATTTTCTTTGATACTCTCCTGTTCCATCAGATGATATATACTATACTATGGTAATCTTATTTGAGACTGCATATTATTACATCATCTAATAAATTAAATTAATATATAGCTTACATGAATCAGTGTACTGTAGAAACTTATGACAAGGCCAGTAAGTCAAAAGTTACTACTCAAAAATCTTTATACATGAATAATTTAATCTCTTTACATTGCAGAAGCATTTGAATATATGCTACATCTTCTGTATCATCACTTGAAATTTACCTACAAAAAAAGAAATATTTATTGAACATTTTGAAATGAAGAAAACAAGTCTTAACACCTATTTTTCTATCTTTTCAATCTTACTTTTTTAGCAGCTCTGACAAAAGGTTTGTTAGGAGAAGAGATGATAACTTTTTTAAAAATCTGCTCCTAAATCATCATCTTACATGGAAAAGGAGTTTACCATATAAAGGAATCCCACAGAAAAAAAAAATCCATCTGTAAAAGGAATTATTCTCTAATCTGTTTTCTAGTTTGGACTTTTATACTGAATGTCACTAAATCTGAGCACATTTAAAACACTGAATTCAGAATCAAATCCTGGGTCTGCCACGAATTTGTGTGACTTTGGGCAAGTCTCTTGACCTCTCTTGGCTTCTAGTTCCTAATATGTAAAACAAGAATAGTAATATTTTCATTACTTATACCTTACAAGGTGGCTGGAAGAATCAACTGAGAATGTTGAAGGAACTAGCAATATTTAGCCTGTAGAAGAAAAGATTTAGGGGGAGAGAATCTTTGTTCTGCTAATCCCAGAAGGCAGAACCAGGAACAATGAGTTGCCAGGAGGCAAAATTTAGACCTTCCATAAGGAAAGATTTCCTAACTACTAGATCTATCCAAAATTGGGATGAGCTGCATTAGGACAGTGGATTCCCCCTCACCAGAGGTCTTCAAGTAAAAAAGATGGTTAAGTTGCTGAAGGGATTCTTTTTCAAGTATTAGTTGGTTATCTAGTTCCCTTCCAAACCTAGTATTCTGTTGGTGATGTTAAAGCACTTTGTAAATTGTAAAGCCATATGCAGTTATTACAGTTTTAAGTAAAATCAAACTGTTCTAGTAATTTAAATTTCCCCAGAAACAAACTAGAGAAAGACACATCCTTGTATCACAACTTATTGGACTGGATTTGAGATTCCCATTTAAAGAAAATTACACTCTTTAAGTGTACAATTAAACTTAAAATTAAACTCTTAAGTTCTTGTTTCTTTTTGACTATTACCTAATAAGGTATAATTAAATTTTTATCAAATACAGTAAATCTTTTATGAAAAATATACTCTTAAAAAGTAAGGAAGAGGAACTTTACTACTTACATGCTGGCATTGCTGACACTTCAGCTGTCACAATACTTTTTATCCCCAAATTTGATAAGCCACCTCTGATTAAGCCACATGTAAATGCTAAATACTAAAAAAGGAAAAAAATAACTGTGAAAAATAATACCTCTTGCAAATTCAAGCCACAGTAAATTACATGATAATACTGTTTTAATTTTCTTGTGGAGAAGTTGAGAAATGTAGATTTATAAACTTTAGTCTAGCTTCATGCGACTAGAGTCTCACCCATTTTGATTTCCCCTAGTCCCCACTAAAACACTCAATAAAAGGGGGGGAGAGGGGATTATGCACAGATGTAGAACTATTACATAAATAAAGACGACCAGAAAGAACCCCTTATAAATTAAAATCTTAAATGCTAAACCTTAAAGCATTCAGCACCCCTCCTGTCCTGGCCTCCATACACCCACCAACTTACAGGTTTGTGCCTTGGAACCACATTAGCAGCCTCTCCTGCAGAGATTGCTGGCGTACCCTACAAGGGCAGACACTAACTTGCCCGGCTACATGAGGAAGAGAAAGGGGGTTAGGGCAAAAATTAAGATATCTTCTGCCTAGGGTGGCCTCTTGGTTAGGGGGCTCTCAAGGCTTCAGAAACTGTTCAGAACATTCTCCCCGCCCCTAACCCTGAAAGAGGGGCACACATGAACCCAACCCAGAAAAGAAAACGATGAGAGCCAAGAGGAACTGAGACAAGTAGCCATTTGGAGGGGCTATACCAGAACTGAAGGAAAGGGGACCAAAACCCAAATGGCACCAGTCGTTGTCACCCTAGATGTTATTTATGGAAGGACCAAGACTAGTGAAACACAAATCCCCTAATATGGGTAATAGCTGAGACAGATTTGCAGTTCAAACCTGGGGGTAACCCATCTTTGAAGGGAGAAATCAGAAAGTGAGTGATGGGTGAACATAAGGCTGAAACACTAAACATTTAAAGAGGAAAAAAGTTCAGTTAAAAACCTAGAGCACAAGCAGATCAATCAGCAGTGGACCCTAAAATGAAAAGAAAGGATAAATATTAAACTCTCAGACAGTACAAAGCTCTTAAATATTACAAGACAAAGGAAAAGTGAACCAATGCATGGTCAAACACAGAATCCTACAGAATCCCAACAAAGCATGAGACCACAGCAGGATGATCCTGAATGGTTCAAAGGAGAAATAAAATCTCTGTGAGAAGATATTAGGAAGAAACAAAATTCCCAGCAGTGGTGGGTTTCTCCAAAGAAGTGAAAGAAAGAATAACCAATGTGAAATGTGAAAAATACTTAGATGGAGGAAGATCTGTGATTAGAGATGCAAAAGGCAATAATGTTAAAGAATATGAATACTGTGCAAGCAAAAGCCACTGACCTCAATATGATATTCAGAGAAAACCTATGGGTCATGGGTCTCTCCCAAGTACATGATAAACAGAAAAATAATGTTGGAAATAATGCAGTCAATCCTCAGCTTTCGTAGCATGAAAGTAACAAATGCTAATGCTGATACATGGAACCCATGGGAAATAGGGTGTTACATTCCCTTGACCACTAAAAAGTATAATCTTTCACTAGAGATTGCTGAAATTACTACTTCTAACACAGCTTAGCCCCCTACTCTCTACATTAATTTTCTGCCATGCCCCCAAGATAGATACCTTCCCCTCACCCATTTCTAGTTCCCTTTTACTTATTTTCTCTCATTAGAATTTAAGCCCCCAGAGGGCAAAGGGCTCTTTCCTTTAGCAAGTATTTGTATTCCCAGCACTTAACATTATGTGTGACAAATACTAAGTGCTTAATAAATATCTTTTGTAAGCTACAGAATCTCGTAATCCATAGTATTGATTAAAATTTTATTGCAGCATGATTTGTAAAAATTGTATTCAGAGGGGGCAACTAGGTAGCACAGTGGATACAGAACAAGCCCTGCAGTCAGGAGGACCTGAGTTCAAATCTGGCCTCAGACCAAACACTTGCTGTGTGACCCTGGGCAAGTCACTTAACCTCAATCTCCCCCCCCCAAAAAAAAAGACTGTTAGACTGAGCTCTTCTCAGCAATGCAATGATCTAAGAAAATTTCAAAAGACTCATGATGGAAAATGATATCCACATCCAGAGAAAGAACTATGGAGTCTGAATGCAGATTGAAGTGCACTATTTTCTCGGGTTTTTTTGTTTTTTCTTTCTCGGGGTTTTTCCCTTTTGTTCTGATCCTTCTTTCACAACCTGACTAATGTGGAAATATGTTTGATATGATTGTAGATATATATCCTATATCAGACTGCATACCGTTTTGGAGAGGGGGGAGTGGAGAAAAATTTAGAACTTAAAATTTTAGAAGAGTGAATGCTGAAAGTAAAAAATAAATTTTAAAAGACCATTTATTTATAATTTCTCTGTGTCCTAATCTATTTTTATACAGGTACTATGTGATGATGAGATATAGTTATATAATGATCTTGTTGACAGGACTCCATGAGACTTGCACTATGCTCTTAAGGCCGAAGCGCAACACAGAAATTGAGTTTTAAAGGTAAACAATGAAAACGTGCAAAGCATGCACAAAGAGCTCTTTACTCTGAAAACAGTAAGGTGAATAACAGCAATGAAATGCCTCATAGGATACCAGCTGCTCCACAAACTTGGCACACTGAGCCTCTCATTTTTTTCTCTACTGCACATAGCCACAAATGTGTGCAGCTGCCAACTCTAAAGTGACAATGAAGT